ATCTGCCTTTCTCTTCTTGTCTCAGGTTTTTTAATAGCACAGCAAAATTCTTGCTGTTTCTCAAACATACATTTTTTTCTACCTATGTGGCTTTGTTCAAGCCATTGCTTGAAAACCTTTCCCAGACCTCTAATTCCTGATGAATTCATTTTCCTCAAAGGTTAAAGCCCTTTACTTCCAGACCATTCTATGATAAAGTAAGAACCATAAGCTGAAAAGTAAATTCTTGAAGAGAAAGTTTGCTTTGTTGGAATGATGCTCTAATAAGCCCTCTGAGGGTTTAACTGAACCTCCATATGACCTTCAATGTCAAATTGGAGCTTAAATATCCCAGGAAAATGAAAGCAGGGGTTATTTTTGCCAAAAGGAAAGAAGAACATGGGGTCTGAGAGCATCTTGGATTGGGTCAGTAGATTTGATAATGAGTCCTGAATGTCAGGCTGACAATTTAGATTTTACTTTGGGTGATAAATCATCAAATGCTTTAAAGATAGGGAGAGATATTTCTGGAGATGTACTTCTGAAAGACCATTGCATCAGCAGTATGTGTGAGAGTTTGGAGGTAGAAGTGAGGGAGGAGGAAGGATAACCTCCGATGACCTAGAATAAGAGCTAGCAAATTTGCCCTGTAAAGGACTGGAGAGGAAGTAGTTTCACCTGAAGGGCTATATGTGTTCTTTGTTGTAAACCCAAACTTTGCCATTGTAGCTCGAAAGATCTAAGCAACATGGAAATGATGGACATGACTGTTCCAATAAAAACTTTGCAGAAATTGTTGGAAGCTCAAAAATCAGCCAAAGGGTAAAGTTTGACAATTCATTAAAATGGTTATAAGGCCCTATCTTGAGCTAGGAATGAGGGAATTAAACTAATAACACTTGGTAAGCAATTTGACATACAGTGGGAGGGGGAGAGAGAATGAAGGGGTGTCTCAAACTTCTAGCTCAGGCTAATGGGTCATGATATCAACCAAGGTTGAGAGTAAGTTTAGTTTATTTTTTCATTCATTAAATGTTGGATGCTTGAGGGACTTGTAGAAGCAACTGTCCTTAGACAAGGGAATAAAATTTAGGGTCTTTTGCTATGTTGAAAATGAACTTTACAACTTCGGTGAGGGGAAGGAGGAGTTGGGGAGGGAAGGGACGATAGAAGAAAATGGAGGTGGTAATAATGCTCAATAGCAAACGTACTTATTACCTTACTCATGTAACTGTAACTCCTCTGCATAATATGTTTATAATAAAATATACACAAAAATCGAGAGTCTTTTGTCCTTAATGGAAAATGCTACTGTCATTCCTCTGTAGATTTTTTATTCTGTATCCATTCAGAATTAATTATTTTATTTGAATTGTCTTACCCGCAGATAGAACCATTTTGGATTCATCTCATGTTTTGCTCTAAAACAATAAACTCCTTGTAATTACCAATGGTCCCTAATCTTAAATTGTGATTCATCTTATGCAATAGGAAAACAGGCCTATAATCTTCTAGGAAGATATAGCTCATTTTATATCATATGTAGAAAACTGTAGATTTGTCAATCAGGAATCTATTACCAAAGTCATCCTTTCTCTTCCTTTATCTTTTTGTTCCCAGCTGTGAATCATGTAAGGAGAAAGTTAACACCAGAAATGGCCTCTACTCTACCCTTGTCTAAAACTAGCATTTCCTAACTCTCAGAAATGGTGAATACTGAATTGCTACAAATGGTTCAATGCCATTTTTCTAGAGAGTGAGCTATATGTAGAGGGACAAGTACCCAAGATCCAGGAACTCATATATGTGTAAATCACTGGGCTACTGCTTATCCTACTAGATCTTTTAATATTGCACTTTCAGTTGACACCAAATGAATACCTATTTGTTTAAGGAAGTATGGAGATTGGATTGTTACTTCTTATTGGGGCTCTTACAGTAGCTAATGAGCTCAGCTCAGTGTGGAAAATCAATAAATCAAACAGCCTGTCAGTGATTATCATTTGTCCATTAAAAGCAGTGTGTTGGTTTTTAACAAACATGGATGCCCAGATTACTTGAACACAAATATCTTGAAGTAGACACTGGTATCATGCAGTAGCATCATGATTTAAATTTCAATCATTTAGAAAGTGGCAGAGAAGGAAAGCACTGAGAATTTAACATCACTTCCTTCTTCTTGCTTTTGAAGATACACTAGTTAACCAGGTAGCCATGTGTTCTTGAAGCGCAAATGCTGAGTACTAAGTTAATTATAAAAGTGCCATCTACTAACATTCTCAGGAATGACTATACCTGTTCATTCTTGCTTATACCTGTCTCAGATTTTTTTGAGTATTGACATAAATGTCAATGAGAGGATATTGAATCCCAAACCATACTATAGATAATAATAGTAGACATTTCTGCCCTATTCTTTAAAGGAAGCTGTATACCTTTAAAGTCTGTATCTTATGAATACCTAAGTATATAAAATGCTTTTAATACAATATCTGAATATATTTCAGCAATACAGTCCAAGTGACCACATTGGGGGCTAAGGTTCAAATAAATAAAAGATCATTCTCTGAGGTAGAGCTCGCTCTAGAGGGAGTATAAGAAGTAAATGATAACATCAAAGAAATGAGGATAATTATATCAGCTAATTAGTTATGTAGTGCTTGGACTATGGCTTAATGACATAGGAAAGGCTGGTTTTGAACATAAGGAAGAAGAGAGAAGAGCAGTTGGTTTAGGGACTATCTTGGAAGAACTAGGTGAGCAATGAACCTTGAAGGAGATCTTTGGGCATATGAACTTTCTAGAAAAGTTGGTGAGGAGGGAAGGGGGCTATGGCAAGATGGTAGAAGGGTAAATACACTCAAAGAGTATTGTATGGGTGTAGAGAAATAGTATAAAATTCCCTATCTTACAACTGTATATTCATTCAGATACAGAAAAAGAAAAGCAAGAGAAGTCATTTCATTGAAATAGGGAATCTGAAATCTGAAAATCACTGCAAATCCAAAATAAGGACTTTCCAGATGGATAACAATCAAGTGAAATGTCGTGGACTCGTTATTACTTTGGCACATGTTAAAGAGCCAAAGAAGAAAGATCTGAAGGTTTTGCTTCCAGGAATGGAAATGGTTTATTTTTCCTTTCCAACACTGGTAATTTTCAAGCACGTATTTTATGCTCGCATCTCTCAAACTAGCCGTACTAGTAAATGTTAAGCTTTATTTCTGACTTTTAGAAATAAAAAAACCCATTGCTTCTGATGAATCATAACTCAGCACAGGATTAAGTGTTCCCGGTTAGGTATAGAGAGCTCAGCAGTGTGGAAAAGGTAAATACAATCTCCCTTCATGTCTTGCTTAGCTGCTAGATAACGAGCCTCAGGCATTACTCAAAACCACAGCGGATGTGGGAAATCCCAAAATAGACCCTCCTGTAGTCAGATCATAGATTACAGTGGAGAAGAACACAGACAGACAACCTGGACGGAATACATGGTCTTCTTAGCATGGAATTTTGCTTGAGGTAGATAGAGACTCTGCTTTCATGGCGTCCTTCTGAACACTCTTCCCCTCCCATCTAGATTTCCAACTCCATAATCTGGAATAGGAATTTATGATTAGATTTGAATTCCTTCAAACCTGGCCTAGATCTAATCAGTCTTCTATTCGATGCACCAAATAGTGCAGAATACTTTAAAAATACCTCCATATATATGTATGCACATATCTAATTTTGTAATCATCTGATCATTATCCTTGAAAATTACAATGAAAACGTCTGACCGAAATTTCATTAGGTCTAATTAGTCTATTCACAGTGAATCCAACGGTTTTGCGTTTGGCAGGCTGAGGGCTCATGGTGTAGCTAGCTGAAGGTCATTCTGGTCTGCATCCAAATAGACAGTTGCAAGCTCTACCTACAGCGGTGCCCTGTGCAGCAGGCTGAGCATGAGTGGGGAGATGTTGGCAATTCTGGTTTTACAGCGAGCCCTTTGCTTTTATGTTAGGCTTCAGAAATCTGTTTATCTGTCTGGAAAAAGAGAAGAAAGATGGTGGAGACTCAGTGAGAAGCTTCCAGTGATCCAAAGAAGCATTTCAAGGCAGCCTCTTATAACTCCTAAACAGGCTCTTTTCTTTGGTATCAAGGCTAATGTGGATCAAATATTGTCTGATGATGTTTCAAAACCTTGTTAGAGCACATGGGCAGGGGATGCTGGTCGCAGTCAATTTGTGCAGGTACTCTTGCAGAACAGCTAGTGTTGTGGAAGGGAGAGGCACCCTTATCAGAACAGGACTGCCTAGAACAAGGACAAAACCCAAAGCTAGGTTTCATCCCAACGAATGGCTAGCATGGGATATATTCTGTATGTTGGGAATCAAGGAAATGAGTCATTAACTCACAAGTGGATAAAAGGGGAAAAACGAAGAGAGTGGTCAGAGAAGTTTGCTACCAATGGAGAGACGTGTTGAAGGCTTTATTTTGGCCACTTATGTAGCAATCTGTGGGGGTATGCTGGATGCCCTGGCTTACAGGCATACAGCACAGTGATTTTTTTTTTTTTTTACAGTTAAGAAGTAAAGGGAAGGATTTTTCCTCCTCCTCCTCCTCCTCCTCCTCCTCCTCCTCCTCCTCCTCCTCCTCCTCCTCCTCCTCCTCCTCCTCCTCCTCCTCCTCCTCCTCCTCCTCCTCCTCCTCCTCCTCCTCCTCCTCCTCCTCCTCCTCCTCCTCCTCCTCCTCCTCCTCCTCCTCCTCCTCCTCCTCCTCCTCCTCCTCTTCTTCTTCTTCTTCTTCTTCTTTGTCAAAGCTCACCAGTGAGCATTAGATAAGAGGACTGAAGAGATAAAATGAAAAAAAATCTTAGGAATCCTAAAGGAATTGAAAGTAACATGAGCATCTAATTAAAAAAAATTAAAACAAGACCCGACCCATGTACAAAGGCGCCCAGCCCCAAAGCTCCCCTTACCTCCTGCGTCCCAGCTCGCCCAGCCTCTGCTGAGGCCCCCACCCCCCCCCCACCCCGGGGATAAGATTTCAACAGACCTCGAATGCCATCTCAAATGGAACACGCCATGGAAACCATCATGTTTACATTTCACAAATATGCAGGGGATAAAGGCTACTTAGTAAAGGAAGGCCGGAGAGTACTCATGGATAAGGAGTTCCCTGGATTTTTAGATCTTCTGGCTATGGACAAAATAATGAAGGACCTGGATCAGTGCAGAGATGGAAAAGTGGGCTTCCAGAGCTTCTTTTCACTAATAGCAGGCCTCACCATTGCATGCCATGACTGTTTCGTAGTACACATGAAGCAGAAGAGAAGGAAGTAGATAGAATCCAGCAATTATTTTTGCCCACTGCGTAAGAGTTCTCCTGAAGGGTCATTTAAGAGATCCACCCACAAACGATATTATGACAGATGAGGACCCTTAGGAAAAGTGCAAATAGCATCCAACTCCCATTTGACAAGCAGAGAAAAGAAAGTTAATTAAATGCCAAGTAATCTTTCATTTTTATATTGTTTGCATCCTCTTGCCCCTAACAATAAAGTCTTTTTTTATTCAAAAATAAGTAAATAAATAGAACAACGAATGAAAGGAATGTCGATCAGGTTCTACCTGGGATATAGGTATCAGTAGGAGTAGGACGGGGGAATGGAGAAGATGGAGGAGGGTGAATAGCATGAAATGTTTATGCACATTTGTGAAGATACGTTTGTCGGGTTGATTTGAGAAGGGAAGATGATGGATACAGAGCAGTGACAGGAGGTTGACTTGAATCAACATCCAGTGTGCGCATACGTGTGCGTATCAGGGCAGGATGAAGTCTCCTTACACCTATGATGCTAGTAAAAGTATGGGAATAAAAGGAGTATTGTAGGTGTTCAGTAGGGGGTAATTTAAATCAGATTTGGGTGGAGGCAAACCAAACAAGATACCACTTCCTGAGATTGGTAGGACTAGGGACCAGGAAAGGGCACAGATTTCTGAAATGCGTTGCTCTCAGGCTGAGGAACAGAATGACAAGAATGCTTGCAAACACGGCAGGCTGTGGTCCTGTGGGAAGTGTCATGGCTATACCAATCTCAACTGGAGAAGAAGGTGAATGCTCGCTTTGTCCTGTGAATGCTCAGTGGCTCTTCCTGGAAGCTGACAAAATTATGATGAGGAAGGATACTGTCATTTATATATTTCTGACAGGAATGGTGTCATTATGTAGGACACAATTTTTTTTTTCCGGTTGTGGGGCTTGAGCTCTGGGCCTGGGCTCTGTCCCTCAACTCTTTAGCTCAAGGCAAATGCTCTGCCACTTGAGCCATAGTGCCAGTTCCAATTTTCTTGTGGTTAATTAGAAATAAGTGTCTCACAGACTTTCCTGCCTGGGCTGGCTTTGAACTGTGATCCTCACCTCTCAATCTCCTGAGTAGCTGGAATTATAGGTGTGAGCCATCGGCTCATGGCTAGGACACAGCTTTTGAAATGAGATTACTATGTTGGAGGAGAGGATTTGGATCAGAGAGCTGTTGGAGAACCGTTTGTAGCTCTTTGAGGGAATCTTTCTGAGCCAGAGAAGAGAGACAGGGACTATTTCACTGCAGTTCAGAAGAAGTTGCAGGATTAGTGAGGAGACACTGACATTTTGCTTCATCTAACACTGCTCACTACACTGAAACAGGGACCTCCTGAGCAAGGGATGGCTGTTAATATTAACATGGCAAAGAAGGGAAGATAATAGTGAGGGGAGATGATGATGATGAAGGACCTATTAAGGTCCTTCCTGTGAGCTAACTCTGGCCCCTGGCAGTAGGCATTCTGGACACTAGAGCAGAAAGGAAGGAGCTATTGAAAAGCTGGACCATAAGAGAAGACATCATGAGGGCTTCGATATGAGGCAAGAACATGGGAGCCGTGTGTCTTGAAAAGTTAGAATGTAAGTTCCAAATCTTTGTTACTCTAGCTTGAGAATGTCATTCAGGAAGAGACAGAGATTGGATGTGAAAGAAGAAATAGCATTTGGAAGGGCTGGGAAGGTGGCTCCATGGAAGAGCGCTTGCCTTGCATGCCAGAGGCCCTGGGTTCGATTCTTCAGCACCACATAAGCAAAAAGAAAAAAGCCGGAAGTGGCGCTGTGGCTCAAGTGGTAGAGCTAGCCTTGAGCTGAAGAGCTGAGGGACAGCGCCCAAGCTCAGAGTTCAGGCCCCGTGACCGGAACCCCCCCCCAAAAAGAAATAGCATTTGGACACAAGCAATGCCTAGAGCCAGCAATAAGGGAGGCAAAATCTCAGGGGACTCTAGAGTATTGATATTGTCTTCATCTGGAACCCTCTCTGTCACTCAGAAAGTTAGTCTAGATTTCTACTGATAATTAGTGGGCAAATTCCTGAGAAATCTTACTGGACTGAGACCATTAGGTTCTCAGAAAATGACAACATTAGAGGATCTACAATTTAGCATCAATGATTCAAGAACAGTTGAAGGGTAGAGATGGACTTTGGAAAGCCCAAATGGGAGAGGAGTAGGCATTATTTACTTGGACAGTTCCTGGTTAAAGACTAATTCCCATATTTCTGACTCATGTCTCACTCTCCAAGATGCTTCCTTCTGTGTAGGAGATTGTTGTTACCCAGGCAACCATAGCCTCTGATGGTCAATGGTGTACTTTGTGGCATCTTTATAAATACCTTGATTATTTCTAGTTTCTAAGTACTAGTGAGCATTTGGATGGGTACAGGTAGTGATGATGGATGAATGAATGAAATTCTCTTCTTGCCAAAGGAAAGAAAATAAAGCTCTCCTTATTGGAAATGAATGAGTCACATAGAAACAAGAGAAACAAGTTGTAGTTTGCTAATGACAATGACATTTCTGAGGCAGCTGGCTGTAACACCATGGTCAGAGTCTGGGGTTAGCTAAGTGGTGTTTCAATGCTGATTCTACCCTAACTTGACAGTGTGACTTGGGAGAATTACTCAGCTATCCTGAGTTTCTCCTTTTTCATCTGCAAAGTAGGGATTCTGCCATTGTTTTACAGACTGCTAGGAGTGAGCTGTCCTGATCACATCGATGCTTCAAAAGTCAGCAAGGATTGTCCTTCAGGATGCAAACAAGGTGAATTTTCTCCCTTGGCACACATCAGGTGACAAGCTGCACTAAAATCTAGAAGGAAAAACCATATGGCAGTTGCACTGATCGCATGTCTCAATCCAGAAGAGTTCTAACAAAGGAATCTAGCAACTTAAAACAGGAAACTGAGGTGGAGAAAAGGAGACTAACTCAGAGTTCCAAAAGTGGCCTAGATAACTAGAAACTCTTTCCCACTCTGGATTCTCCCCACTCTGAGACATGAATGGTAGCTTGACTCCAGAGTCTTTGGTTGGGAACAAGTACTCACAAATTTTTGACACTTGCGTTCTATTTGGTGGTGAAAGTCATGAGCTTGTGAGACAGAATAGTGAGGATCAAATGTTAGTTCTCATGCAGGTGAGTGGTAGGTTCTTGTTCTCTGGCAGTGTAGAAATAAAACCAGGAGTCTGATGCTGGTGGTTCATACCTGCAATCCTAGCTACTCAGGAGGTTGAGATCTGAGGATTGTGGTTCAAAGCCAGCTGGGCAGGAAAGTCCTTGAGACTCTTATCTCTAATGAACCACCAGAAAACCAGAAGTGGTGCTGTGGCTCAAATGGTAAGGCTCTCATCTTTGAGCTGAAGAGTTGAGGGACAGCGCCCAGGCCCACAATTCAAGCCCTGTGATTGACAAGAAGAAGAAGAAGGAGGAAGAGGAGGAAGAGGAGGAGGAGGAGGAGGATGAAGAGGAGGAGGAGGAGGAGGAATAAAACCAGGAACAATGAGCACAGCTATAAAGAGTTCATTTAGTGAGGAGATAGTAAAGGTCATTCAGGAGAGTGAGCAGTCTACCTGGTGGTCAGGGACTGGCTGTTTTATACTGTCCCTCCCTATATTTTTCCTCCACTCTTTTGGCAGTTTGTCAGATGGTTGTTTTGAAATAAGCAAAACCATCCCCTGGATGGTAGCCACAAGATAGCAGCTTCTAGGAGGTCTGGCCTGTATTACGGCAGAACCCAAGACCCTGATGTGTGTGGTGATCACTTGTTGTGGGGAGCAAGTTGGCCTGAACTGGTTGGCTAGTGTTTACCTTCATCACTACTCTGAGTTTTCCCTGACTCCTGTCGGGACATGAGGACGTCCAGCTCTGTTCTGGCTACTTCCTGCAGAAAGGTGAGATGACAGTTGCCGGGGAAGATTCAGGGGAACCAAGGGACTTTTAAGCCCTTGTAGTGATGCTGTTCCTCAAGTCCTTGGTGGTCGGCTTTTATATCCATGATTATCTGTGGTTTGAATTGATCTAGCAAGAGAGAACTAACTTGGTGAGTCATTTGGACACAAAAGGCTCAAGCATGAGGAGTATGAGCAGTCTTATCAGTGGTTGACTGCAGGGAAGGTTGTATTTGTTTTTATAATATAGAGCTCAGGTGGGCCTGTAAAGGGTGTTTATGTAACCATTGTTGGAGGATGAAGTTTACTTGTTAGTACCATGTGGATAAGAAAGAACAGGGATTATTGAGTATTTTTTATAGCTAGTCCTGCCTGTTTAGAGGTATGTGACATTGTATGGGGTAAATTTCTCACCATTACATGATTGGTAACTATTTTATAGGTAATTTTACCCAGTGCAAGTACTAACACAATAATGCCTCCTACAATTGATGTGACAGTTCCAACACGCAGGTAAATGACATTAGATGAGCCACTCTGTGCCACTATAGTGTGTCTATGATGATAGTATTTGCTTCTGAAGAATTTAGCCATTATTTTATACATATACTTGCCTCAGAAACATTGTCTGTAATCGCACGGTAGCATTCATTAGATAGTGTGCACATAAGCAGATACTGCTATTATTTTCATAAGGACAGTGAGAAATAATTAGGTGCTAATATGTTCTGGTTGATGTTGATTGGCCTAGAATCATTTTTTTAAAATGTGGCAAGAAAAAAATTTTCCATAAATCTGGCTGCAGGCTTAGCTCTATTGAAAATTTCTGTGAGCATTTGGGCTCTTAAAAAAAGTAATTTTGCATTAGCATACATTTATATTTTGAGAGAATTTCACTGTGATATTTACATGCATACATACAGTACATTTTGGTTTTTTATTCTATGTATTTCATGAAAAAATAAAATAAAATCATAATGTACATTTAATTCACATTTTCTCAGTACATTCTGCACTGTCCTCAGGTTACAAGGTTAAATAACATGAAGAGAAAAGTTCACAAGGGTTTCACAATTTAAAGCAGCATACTCAAGCACCTATAGCATTCCTTTTCTAAAGTATATATATTTTTTAATTATTAAATATATATTTTTGTTGTAAAAATACTGTACAGAGGGGTAACAGTTACTTGAGTAAGGTAATGAGTACATTTCCTATCGAACATTGTTACCCTCTCCTTTGTTTTTCCTCTACTATCCCTTCCCTCCCCACCTTGCCAACTCCTCCCTCCCCCCAAGTTGCAAATTTCATTTTCAACATACTGTCCT